TTAACAGACTTTGGGCCTTTGTTACATATCAGCTGCTCATAGGTGGATGAATTTATGTCTGGATTCTCAATTCTTTTCCACTGGTCTATGTATCTGTTGTTGTACCAGTACTAGGCTGTTTGACTACTGTGGCAGTATAACAGGTTCTAAAATCAGGTAGTGTGAGGCCTCCCACTTTGTCCTTCTTCTTCAGTAATGCTTTACTTATCCAGGGCCTCTTCCTTTTCCACATGAAGTTGGTGATTTTTTTTCTCTATCTCATTAAAAAATGTCGTTGGAATTTGGATCGGGATTGCATTGTATATGTAGATCACTTTGGGTAGAATTGACGTTTTCACAATGTTGAGTCTTCCTATCCATCAGCAAGGTATGTTTTTCCACTTATGTAGGTCTCTTTTGTTTTCTTGCAGTAGTGTCTTATAGTTTTCTTGTACAGGTCTTTTACATCTCTGGTTAGATGTATTCCTAAGTATTTTATCTTCTTTGGGGCTATTGTAAATGGTGTTGTTTTGGTGATTTCTTTTTCGAAGCTCTCTTTGTTGGTGTAAAGGAATCCAAGTGATTTTTGTATGTTTATCTTGCATCCTGATACTTTGCTGAAATCTTCTAGTAGTTCCTGTAGTTTTCTTGTGGATTCTTTGGGGTTTTCTGTGTATAAGATCATGTCATCTGCAAATAGAGATACTTGGACTTCTTCCTTACCAATTTGGATGCCCTTTATTTCTTTTTCTTTCCTTATTGCTCTCTCTAGGACCTCCAGCACAATGTTGAATTAGAGTGGTGATAAAGGACATCCTTGTTTGGTTCCCGTTCTCAAGGGGAATGCTTTCAGACTCTCTCTATTTAGGATGATGTTGCTGTTGGGTTTGTGGAAATGCCCTTAATTATGTTGAGAAATTTCCCTTCTATTCCTATTTTGCTGAGAGTTTTTATCATGAATGGGTGTTGGACTTTGTCAAATGCCTTTTCTGCATCATTTGATAAGATCATGTGGTTCTTATCTTTTTATTTATGTGATAGATTACATTTATTGTTTTTCCAATGTTGAACCATCCCTGCATACCTGGTGTGAATCCCGCTTGGTCAATCTTCCATATTTCTTGACATAGATGAGTGGGCACCACCAGCGCTGCATCCATTTGTTGAAACATCTCAGTTGGTATTTTGTCAATTCCGGGAGCCTTGTTTTCTGCCAGTGCCTTCAGTGCAACTTGGACTTCTTCCTTCAGTACCATTGGTTCTTGATCATATACTACCTTCTGAAATGGTTGAATGTCGACCAATTCTTTTTGGTGAAGTGACTCTGTATATTCCTTCCATCTTCTTTGATGCTTTCTGTGCCATTCAATATTTTGCACCATGGAATTATTCAGTATTGCAATTTGAGGCTTGAATTTTTTCTTCATTACTTTTGGCTTGAAAAAATGCTGAGCATGTTCTTCCCTTTTGGTTTTCTAACTCCAAGTCTTCGCACATGTCATTATAATACTTTACTTTGTCTTCGCGACCCACCCTTTGAAATCTTCTGTTCAGCTCTTTTACTTCATCATTTTTTCCATTTCCTTTCTACTCAATGTTCAACAGCAAGTTTCAGAGACATCCATTAAGTGGCTACCAAAAAACCAAACCAGCTGCCATCGAGTTGATTCCAGCTCATGGCAACCCTGTGTGTGTCAGAGTAGATGTGCTCCATAGGGTTTTAAATGGCTGATTTTTTGGAAGTAGATTACTGGTACTTTTTTCCAAGGCACCTCTGGGCAGGCTTGAACCTCTACCCTTTTTGTTAGCAGCTGAGCACCTTATCCATTTGCGCTACCCAGGGACTACGTAGTGGCTACACTTACATACAAATCTAATAAAAAGGGTTTGTCATGCATTGCATATTTGAATGACATTTAATCTAGTTAAAATAAATACATTCCAGGATAGGAGACCCAGATTCTAACAAAAGAAGGAAGTGTCTTGCTAGGGGGAATAACTAATGGAGCCCTTTCCTTCCCACTGGAGCACAAAACCAGAGGACAGAAAGGAAAAACAATAAGAAATAAAGGATGGAGAATGTAAATATAATGAGAGGAGACAGCCCCAGTAGAAGCAGAGAAATAGGAGAGGGGGTAATTTTTGGAGCCAGGTGCCTGAGGAGCTAAGAGGGGATGTGGTCCAGAGCACAGGTAGAGGTTCTAGTCCTTGGAGACTAGAGGGATAATACTTCCAACAGGACCGAAGAGAGTGAGGGATGGTTGAGTGCAAATACTGAGAAATGGCAGGTGGAAGGGGAAATAAATATTTAGGTAGTTCCAGCCTATTTTTTCTGTAAAGATGAAGGTAAAGTCGCCTGCTGAGAATGATGGAGAAGGTAGTGGGATGGGCACTTGTAAAGGATGTTAAAGATTTGCTGTAACTATTATAGTCTTGGAGGGCAATGCTAGTTCAGTGGTAGAAATTTTCACCTTCCATGGGGAGATCTGGGTTGGATTTCCAGCCGGTGCATCTCATGTGCAGCCACTACCCATCTGTCAGTGGAGGCTCATTTGTTGCTATGATGCTGAACAGGTTTCAGTGGAGCTTCCAGATTAAGATGGGGTAGGAAGAAAAGCCTCGCAATCTACTTCCAAAAATTAGCCAATGAAAACTCTGTGGATCACAACAGTCCAAGCCACACCAGGCCATCGGTCTGGGCAGCTGACAACAACAATTATAGATCTTAAAATAGCAGCTACCATTTTGTGACTGTTGTGTTTTGTGGGTTGCTTTACAAATGATATTTCTAATCACAACAAAGCCCATAAAGTAGATATTATTATTCCTATTTTGTACAAGAGGAAACTGAAGTTTAGAGCAAGAGTAGAAGAGAGAGATGACCGAGGATGCATAAAAGGATTGCTATGCAGCGTTGAGAGCCTATTTGTGATGGCACCAGTCCATATGGCTGTGTAATTTTTTTCTCTAAATCCTGGGTGTAGGAAGGGAGGGGGTGAAGTTGAGTTGAAAGATAGGACTAGTAATTTTCTGAATTCTGCTTGTTTTCATGGTATTCCTTTTCCCTTTGTTCCCTTTTCCTTAAGGTTATATGGATAGTGACGTTCTCATCTGCCATTTTTCTGGGACTGGATGCTGGACTACTTGTTTCAGTAGCTTTTGCCTTCTTTATCATCACAGTTCGGTCACACAGGTACTTCATCTCAGAGAATAGGAGGTGAGACATAGTAAGGCAAGACAATTATGACCTAAAGACAAGTGTCATGTCCTTTCAGAGCTAAGATTTACCTCCTGGGCCAGATCCCTAACACCAACATTTATAGGAGCATCAGTGACTATCGGGAGGTAAGAATCCAAATTAGCACTACTCCTGTGCCCGAGGGATGGGTTGGGCCAGGCCTGATGCTTAGTATTTCCATGGAATGTCTTCACTGTGGTTTGCTGCACTACAGATACCCATTAAGGAAGGAGGGGAAAGGGATGTATAAGGGTAGGACAGGCATTTAAGTGGTAAATCTTTATAGTACTTCAGCTAGCCAGTGAAGGATTATTTAAAAATGTATTTTAGGGAGAGGAAGAGAGAAAAAGAGAAGAGTAGGGAAATGGAGAGGAAAAGAAGAAAGCAGGAAAAGCCAAACCAAACCAAACCCACTGCTGTTGAGTCAATTCCTACTCATAGCAACCTTACAGGACAGAGTAGAACTGCCCCCATAGAGTTTGCAAGGAGCACCTGGTGGATTTGAACTACCAGCCTTTTGGTTAGCAGCCATAGCACTTAACCACTATACCACCAGCGTTTCCATTTCTTGCCTCTAATAAAGAAGAATATAGATTCTCCAGGAGGTTCTGAAGAGGTTTTTGTTTTTTTTTTTTAAATTTTGCTCCCGGACAGAGCTGGAGAAAAATGTAGAACAAAATTTTAACTCACAGAAAAGACCAGACTGGCCTGACAGAGACTGGAGAAACCCCGAGAGTATGGCCCCTGAACACCCTTTTAACTCAGTAATGAAGTCACTCCTGAGTTTCACCCTACAGTCAACGATTAGACAGGCCCATAAAACAAAACAAGACTAAAGGAGCACACCAGCCCAGGGGCAAGGACAAGAAGGCAGGAGGGGACAGGAAAGCTGGTAATAGGGAACCCAAGGTCGAGAAGGGACAGTGTTGACATGTTGTGGGGTAGTTAAACAATGTCATAAAACAATATGTGTACTAATTGTTTAATAAGAAGCTAGTTTGTTCTGTAAACCTTAATCTAAAGTACAATAAATAGATAAAGTTAAGAAAAAATTTTGCAACCATCAGCACTATTTATCTTAAAAACTTTTTCATTACCCCAAGCAGAAACTCTGTATCCATTAAGCGGTAACTCTCCTTCCTCCCTCCTTCAGCCCCTGGTAACCTCTCTTCTACTTTCTGTCTCTATGAATTTGCCTGTTGTAGACACCTCATATAAGTGAGATCAGACAATATTTGTCCTTTTATGACTGACTTATTTCACTCAGCATGATGTTTCAGGGTTCATCCATGTTGTAGCATGTATCAGAACTTCATTCCTCTTTATGGCTGAGTAATATTCCATTGTATGGGTAGAACACATTTTGTTTATCCATTCAACCTATGGATGGGTATTTGGGCCTAAACAGTTTTTATTCTTAGTCTATGAAAAAGCTGAGTCCCTAAACTTAACATTTTATCTTGCAGATTATGAGCATTCCTGGGGTGAAAATCTTCCAGTGCCGCAACTCCATTACGTTTGTAAACATTTACCAACTGAAACGCAGGCTGTTAAATGAAGTAGCCACTTTCTTCGTCTCTCTCCCTACCTGCCCTGCACCCCTACCTCACCCTTTTGCCTTCTTTTCCATCACTCACTCTCAGTACGTGATCCCTCTTGTATCTTCCAGATTGATATGATAAGGGTGCGTCTTAAAGAAGAAGAAGTTTTCAGCCTGTTTACTCATAGTGGTCATACCAACAGAGGGGCAGAAAGGGGGTGTAACTGCTTCTGCAACTGTGATGAGCCAGAGCCACCAGCCAGGGTTAGAAACTCCAATTCTTTTCTGAATTTTTCTCACATTTTAAAAAGTGCACTAACAGTTTCTAAAAACAAAATTCAGAACCCCTCAAGGATTTTGACTTTTAGATGGACCACAGAGAACTGGAAATCAAAGATTTCTACTCAGAAATAAAGACACAGGCTCCCCTTTGAGGTCCGGGTTTTGACCTGAAAGTAGGTAGGAGGAGCTGTTCTAAGTCTTTGATTTCCTACTTGATGGCAAGCAAGTTATCTGAGTACAGAGAGTACTGTTTGCCAATTCAGATTGTCTGGAATTCCCTGGTTGAACCTATTTCTCTGGCTTTTAGCTGACTAGCTTCAGATTTCTGAGAAGAAATAATTTTAAGATTGTTGTCCAGTTCCAGGTGGGGCAAAGTCAAGGGCTGCGGTCTCCAGGATCTACCAGGGTCTCCTGATGTCTTCCTAGGACCAGGGAAATGATGGCAGAGGGTGAAAGAGGAAGAAGCACCAAGTACAGGCCACTATTCTAGATAGGGATTTTACAACATCTGGAAGATATTTTTCATAGCAACCCTATGAGTCGGAATTGACTTGACGGCAACAGGGTTGGTCTGGTTTGTTTTTGGAAGATATTTTAGCTGATGAGGGTTACAAAGTGCTTGTTATTTCTAACCCTGACTTCGTCTAAATCATCCCTTCCCCCAAAGCAGAGTTTCTCATTTCTAGCTTTTGGGCCTGTCTGTAATCATCCAGTCTACAGCCTATACCCTGGACCGGCAGTTAAATCTATACACACAGAGATTTATACACACACACCACCACACACCTTCCCTTCCCTTGTTGTTGTTTGTTGTTATGTGTTGTCAAGTTGATTCTGACTCATAGCCACCCTATATGACAGAGTAGAACTGCCCCATAGGGTTTCCTAGGCTATAATTTTCACGGGAGAGGATCTCCAGATCTTTTCTCCCTCGGAGTGGCTAGTGAGTTCCAACTGCCAACCTTAGGGACCTGTAAATACGCTTGCTTTACCTTTTCAAACGCTGAGTGCCCATTTTCACTCCCACCCACCCTAATGAAATTTAGCTTTTACTGAGCTCCCTGAAAATAACGACTGTGCTATCATAACCAGGTAATGAAATTCAAAGGACATTTCCTCCAACTACTCTGGACAGAATTAGCACTATAGTTAATCTTTGTTTGGTATCCATACTGTGCTAGGTATTGTAGAAAACGTTTACATAACATCAGTGTTATGGATTGAATTGTGCCCCCGCAAAATGTGTGTCAACTTGGCTAGGCTATGATTCCCAGTATTGTGTGATTGTCTGCCATTTTGTCATCTGATGTGATTTTCCTATGTGTTGTAAATCCTATCTCTATGATGTTAATGAGGCAGGATTAGAGGCAGTTACGTTAATAAGGCAAGACTCAATCTTCAAGATTAGGTTACGCCTTAAATCAATCTTTTTTGAGATGTAATAAGAGAGAAGCAAGCAGAGAGACAGGGGGACCTCATACCACCAAGAAAGTAACGCCATGAGCAGAGCGTGTCCTTTGGACCTGGGGTCCCTGCATTGAGAAGCTCCTAGACCAGGGGAAGACTGATGACAAGTACCTTCCCCCAGAGCCAACAGAGAGAGGAATCCTTCCCCTGGAACTGGCATCCTGAATTCAGACTTCTAGCCTCCTAGATTGTGAGAGAATAAATTTATCTTTGTTAAAGCCATCCACTTGTGATATTTCTGTTATAGCAGCACTAGATAACTAAGACAATCAGCAAATATACTTTAGAGTTGAATAGGGTCATTCAGAATTTATCGAGCCCCTACTGTGTAGCCAGAACTATGACGCTATGAAAAGGAAAACATAATTTCAAAGGTTTCTCTTCAGGGAGTTCTGAAATTTTTTTTTCATGGAAAATTTTGAACATATACAAAAGTAGAGACAAGAGTATAATGAGCCCTTATGTACCCACCATTAGCATTAAGGTGTATCAACTCAGCCAGCCTTGTGCAGCTATACCCTTACCCACTATCAGCCCCTCAAAATCACAGGATTATTTTGAAGCAATTCATGAAGTTGTAAATCAAACTACAGAGATAACTCTATATTAATGTGACATATAAGGCTATAATTTTATCAAATCCTAAAATTTTTTTGACATTTCTGATATTCGATGCATCATGCAATTGATGGCATGTCTGTTTAATTCACAATGTTTTCTTTCTTGATAGTACAAGTAATAGTGGTGTACCTTAAAATTGATAAAATGGGATAGTGAACCATACAATGTAGTGTATTGTTATGTTCTAAATTGTGTGTTAGATTCTAACAACTGTAAGGCTTTCGGTAAAGGAGATGAGTGTGAGCTCAAAAGGGAAATTTCATGGGAGAAGTGGATGTGTACTGGTCAGGAGAGAGAAATTTGGAATGATATCAGGTAGGAATGAAGAGGATTCCAGGCCTACAGGTCTACTTGGGCAAAGACCAAAACCAAAACCGAACCCACTGCGTCGGGTTGATTCTGGTTCATAGCAGGGTTTCCAAGCCTGTAAATCTCTACGGAAGCAGACTGCCATATTTTTCTACTGAGGAGCAGCCAGTGGTTTCAAACTGCCGACATTTCAGTTAGCAGTCGATTGCTTTAACCAGTGCACCACCAGGGCTCCTTTGGGCAAAGATACCGAGGTAGAAATAAGTGTAGGGGGTCTCAAAGTAAGAGGTTTGGTCTGGGAAATGAGGTCAGGCAGGCACAATATGAGTGGATTATGAAAGTCTTTGGAAGGCAAGATAAGGAGAGAAATGGGAGGTTCCTACCTTTCCCTCTGCCTGGAGGACCTTGCGTCTTCTCACCACTGAACCAAGCCTCACCTGTCCCCTTAAGGCCTGGCCTCAGTGTCTTTCAACCATGGGGGCAGCTCTTTCCTTTGAACTATAATATTATCTATCCATACCAGTTTTTTTTCCTATGCAATGTATACTTCCTTGTATGGTTTTTATCTTGAATTTTCTTCTATTTTCAAACTATACTTCACAAGCAACATTATTAGAACAATCACTTTTTTTTATAAGAAACATCACCCAAAATTACAGCACTCTAGCAAATGAATTCTTTTCATTTTTCTATTTGCCTTATAGGTCTTATCCATCAATGTTGTTATGTCCCTTCTCTCCAGGTAGAGTCTGATCCCTCCTGTGAAAGCAGAGTCCACATTCACATCCTGCATGTCATTGTATCCCTAGTGCTTGATATTGGGCTTAAACTATAGCAGGCACTGAGGCTTATTAGGGAGATGAAAGGAGAGGTAAAGACTGCCCTGCCCAAGTCATTTTTGTCTTCTTCAGGAAGTCTGACAGAAGATGGCTGCACTGATGAAAGGGGGTATTGAGAAAAGGGACTGATGGAAGAAATGCTTCAAACAAAGTATTAGTTGGCACTGGACACTAATTGGAACCCAGGGATGAGGGAAAGGAATAAATCAATGATGATTTTAATTTTGAGTCACTAGAACAATGGAACAATGATAACAACATTGATGGACATAGGGAAGTTGGAAGGGGGATGCCGTGAGTGGTGAAGATAAGGAAAGATGAATGTGGTTTTAGTCATGAGCTTGAAGTGACAGCGAGATATCCAAGTAAAAATGGAAGTACTTAGTCTGGGGACAAGCTTCATAAAAGAGGGAGTGAGCTGGCAGATTCAAACAGCATAGTTGCAAGTACTTTCAGTCCTTGTCTGAGTGCTCTCACAGTCATCCCCTAACTCTGTTGTCCCAGATTGTCTACACAGAACGATTTGAACGTAAATCGGGTCACTCTTCCTCCTCCATTAACCTAGTCCGCTGCTCACGCTTCGAGAGCATGACCACAAACCAGTCTACATCTGATGAGCAAGTGCCATACACAGTATCTTCCACGTCTCAGAGGAATCAAGGTCAAAACTTGGAGGAGGAGAAAGTCTGGGTTCCTAATAACCCCCTGAGAAACAGCTTGCCACCACTGCCTGATGCTGCTGGAAGTCAGGGGAGGAGTAGATCGCTCCTGCCTTACTCAGAGGCTTCTCTTCTGCCCACCACCTACACCATCATCCTGGATTTCTCCATGGTCCATTTTGTGGATTCACGGGCTTCAGTCATACTAAGACAGGTAAGTACTGGGGAGGCTTTAACAAGAGCTCTGATGCCCTCCTCCCCCCCACCCCCACTGCCCAGATCCCAGTCAAACCCTGATCTGCTGCTGTGTGATTAATTACTAGGCCACCAGAAACTTGGGCTCTGGAGGCAGTTTAAGGTCAATCAGAATAAAAAGAAAATGAACCAGCTTTGATTGCTTGAACTTTGGGGTTGATTCAGTAAACAGGATATATAATTATGTCTCAAGGAATAAAAAATAGGAAACTCCTAACACCAGTGAAACAGCAATCCATACCATGCCCAGAAATTACCAGTATATGGTGGGAGTTAGCTGCAGATCTTTTCAAGGAATGTCTGAATGCTACAGAAAAATGTTCATCAAGAATTCTCCACTACTTAGCTGCTCTGAGCCAGGCACTGTAGAAGACGCCAGGATGCCTTTTACTCAGAATTGAAAAAGTTGTGATAAATGATGCCCCAAGCCTGAGACTGTCTGTCCAGTACCTATAGTGTCTTCCCCAGTTCCCTCTTCATGGCCTTCATCTTTGGGTGAGAAGGGTAGGCAGATTTTTCCTTCAAAAGCTGCATTCCTTTGTCCTGGCTTCTCTCCTACTCTCTGGTTTATCTGACAGGTTTCATTTCTCTCCTTCTTGTAGACTACAGACAGTTTAGATGCACAGCTAACCCTACTGGTTTGATTGTTTAATGTCCCGTAAGTGTGATATGTTTTTTCAGCCAGTTTATCTCTGTTCTCTGCAGCACCCCATCTCCCTCTTGTTCCTGTTGGCAATGGATCAGGTTTAAGCCTCCTGAACACTTACTTCCTGGCTCTGAGTGCACTCTATCTCACTCTTGCTCCTTTGGCTGATTTTCCTCCTTTCATCTTCGAATCAGATTTTATCATACCTTCTTTTTCCTAAAGGGATGCAATTCTCTCTTACGTGAGTCCAGCTCCTCATTGGTCTGAGGCAATAGGAAGGCTTTCATAGCAGAAAGAACTCTGGTTGGTGGTCTAGAGATGTACACTCTGCGCTGGCTTTGCTACTCACTATCCATCTGACCCAAGATAAGTTGCTAAATTGCACTGGGTCTCAGTTTCCTCATCTATAAAATAACAGGCTTAGAAGAGATTAATGTTAAGGGCTTTTCTATCCATTAGATTTTCCTACCCACTCCCCCGCACCCTCCATTTTTAGACTTAAGTATACTTGATATTCTCTTGTCTTTGGGGCTTTTCCATCTCAGGTAGTTCTACTGGGTGGTGGTCTCTTCTCCCAGTCTTGTGCTGTAGTTGTTACCTTAGATTTCATTCAAGCCGCATTATGGAATGCCTACTACGTGCCAGACCAAGCTGGGCACTTTTTTTTTTTTTAAATAGTGCTTAAAGTGAAAGTTTACAGTTCAAGTCAGTTTCTCATACAGAAATTTATACACACATTGCTATGTGACCCTAGCTGCTCTCCCTATAATGTGACAGC